GACGCCGCTAAGGGTGGTGGTGGGGATCGAAACTCACTTTTAAAACTTCCTCGCTCGTCTCATTCTCCAGTTCATTGATGGTCTGATCTCAGACACCTTTTATTCACGCTTCATTCGCTGACCCTCTTGCTTGTTCCGATCGGCATCAGCTATGCTCGGTAAAAACCGAGCCTCTCAGGGGGTGGACCGATTGGGGCAAAAAGGAGCGCCTCAATTCTCCGGCTTCAAGCCATCGAAGAGGTCGCTCCCCGAGCGCCCCCGGCTTGGAGCCTCCACTCTGAGGCTCACCTGGGGGTGTCACTTGAGGTGGCACCCCTCCAACTCCCCTGGAGCGCAGAATGCCTCCCCTGTTCAGGAGAGAGCCTCCGCCATCGCTGGAGCCACAGACCGGAAGTCTCACTATCAAGACTACTATTAATGTTACATCGTTTGTATTGTTTTGGATTCTCTGTTCGTATCAATTGTTTTATATTCATTTAATTAAAATTATTAATTTAAATTTTAAAAAAACAACAACACGAGTATTATATGCAGATGAGGGGAAAATACCTCCCTCCATGCTCGCACCAAGCCGGGAAGGGAAACGACTGACCTTGATTATCGTCTGATACTTCTGGATCCTGTTTATGGGTCTCTCCAGATAGTGCTGCAGAGGGAGCACGGGTGGCTGGGATGGGTCCTCGCCAGAGAGCATTTCCTCTGTATATCGCTGGACCAAAAAAAACACAAAAAGTGAGGATTTTATAGGAAATCAGAGATGACATCACCATTGAAAGGGTTTGGCTTCGTCACAAATAACAATCCTGCAAGCCCACTCCTTTTTCTCTGTCACGTTTGTATCCCATCCTTCCCCCTCTGATGTCCTACTTGCGCGCACTAAAAACTACGCCACACTTGCCCCCTTACCTTGTAGAACTCCTGAACAGTTTTGCTGACAACAACAGACTCGGCCTGTATCCGACCAACTAGATACAGGATGTACTTGTCGAAGTCCCCCTCGTTCTTAATAAAACACATGGCCACGTCATCGTCAGTGTCACATTTCTGAAGCTCTGGAAAGAAGGTGCTGGGAGGAACAGGAAGAGGATGAGACTCTGTCAATCAAATTCTTCACTATCTGATCACCGCTGCCTCTGTGCTAGAAAGGCAGGAGCAACTTCTGCAGCTATCGCAGCATGAATACGACACAGCTACAGCATAACGCCTCGGGAACATGTTCCGAGAAATCCATGCTGAAATGAACGGGAGCTGTGCAAGGAGATGGTGGTCACTGTACTATCTCCAGCCCCAGGACAGGAGCATTTAAGAAAGGTAGACCCATGGAGACAATTCCGAACTGGGGAGGGCGGGGGAGAGAAGCTTGTCAGAACATGCAAACGAATAGCCATTGTATGAACTTTGCCGAATTTTCGTCGTTTACTCCTAATGACAAATTCGCAAGATTGCTGACATTATGGGTTTTAATACAAAATACTCTGAGATGGACCCAGAGATGACTGTAAACCAACAGAAGGCGCCTCTTCTGACACAAGGTAGAATGCATGGTTGTCATGGATGTGAATTTCCCTGTTCTATGTGGATTAGCCTTTCCTGATTCCCAAATTGTACCCAGCGTGAGGTTTTAAAACTGCATTTTATTTTTATTTTTGTGACGTCAGTGCCCCCTGACTTATTTGAAGGACCCCCAAATTACAAAATCCTGGGTACGGGCCTGGGGTCACCGTAAGTGGGAAGAAGAGAAGAAGAAGAAGAGATTGGATGTATACCCCGCCCTTCACTACTCAAAGGTGTCTCAGAGCGGCTGACAAACTCCTTTCCCCACGACAGGCAGACACCCTGTAAGGTAGGTGGGGCCGAGAGAGCTCTTGACAGAAACTGCTCTTTTTTCAAGAACAGCTTTTATCAGAACTATGGCTTGCCCAAGGTCATCCAGCCAGGTGCAAGTGGAGGAGTGGGGAATCGAACCCGGTTCTCCCAGATTACAAGAAGAAGAGAAGAGATTGGATTTATACCCCGCCCTTCACTACCCGAAGGTGTCTCAGAGCAGCTTACAAACTCCTTTCCCTTCCCCTCCCCACGACAGACAGACACCCTGTGAGGTAGGCAGGGCTGAGAGAGCTCTTGACAGAAACTGCCCTTTTTCAAGGACAGCTCTTATCAGAACTACGGCTTGCCCAAGGTCATCCAGCCAGGTGCAAGTGGAGGAGTGGGGCATCAAACCCAGTTCTCCCAGATTAGAGTCCGCGCACTTAACCACGACACCAAACTGGCTCAGAGGTTTGCCTCCGAACATGGAGGTTCCCTTTAATCACCATGGCTAGTAGCTACTGATAGACCCCTCTCCTCCGTGAATCTATCTAATCCACTTACAAAGCTAGCTATGCCTGTCGCCGTCACACAAGAAGAAACAAATGGTTTTCTCTTCGGGAGTGAGAATGTGCACCTCTTCCCCCGTACTGAATCATTCCTAAAGCCGCCGACCCAG